GTGTGTGTGCGTGCGTGCGTGTTGATGCCTGAGCTACAAGGCAGAAAAGAAAAAAGGAGCCGCATGAGTGAATTCGTGTCTCCCCAGAGGGTGGAGGCTTTCTGCTAAACCTTGCAGGTTTCCCCTCATCTTCCGTTGTCCCTGCGTCAAATGATGCGCCGGCGCCTGCACTATAAAAGCACCTGTCCTGGCCAGACATCACTCGCATCTCACTTTCTCTCTCTCACACACACTCACCCTCACACACTCCTGAACTCCACACACTCTCTCTTTCGCCCGTTCTGAGCAGTTAGACCGGACACCACCGAAGGAAACATGAGTTACTCCAGCGACATTTACAGCAGCAGCTCCTATCGGAAGATCTTCGGAGATGCCCCCCGGTCCGGCCGCATGGGTCTGGGCAGCAGCAGCAGCAGCCCGTCCCGCCTGCACTCTGCGGGATACCGCAGCAGCCACCGTACCTACGGTTCCCCCTCCGCGATGTCCTCCACCACCTACCGCAGGACAGCGGCGCCCGGCCGCGTCTACTCCTCCATGGACTCCGCGATGGACCTGACCCAGTCCACCGCGGTCACCAACGAGCTCAAGATCATCCGCACCAACGAGAAGGAGCAGCTGCAGGGCCTCAACGACCGCTTCGTGTCTTTCATTGAGAAAGTGCACAACCTGGAGCAGCAGAACAAAGTCCTGGAGGCAGAGGTCACTATGCTGCGGCAGCGCCACAACGAGCCCTCCCGCCTGCACGAGCTCTACGAGCAGGAGATCCGCGAGCTGCGGGGGCGCGTGGAGGAGCTGACGCACGAGAAGAGCCAGATGCACCTGGACTGCGTGCAGATGAACGACACGCTGGAGCGCGTGAGGGAGAAGCTGGAGGAGGAGACCAAGCTGCGCGAGGAGGCGGAGAACACCCTGAAGGGCTACCGGAAGGACGTGGACGACGCCACCCTGGCGCGCCTGGAGCTGGAGAAGAAAGTTGAGTCGCTGCTGGATGAGATCGCCTTCCTCAGGAAAGTTCATGAGGAGGAGCTGCAGGAGCTGCAGGCGTCTCTGCAGGCCGCACAGGTACACACCCACTGTGCTGTGAGGACCCGTAGGTCCACACACTGACAGGGGCTACTTTGGTCCACTTGTCGGCTGTCACACTGCCACAAACCATCTAATATTCCTCAACACCCGTGGCTTTTTTTTCAATGTCACATCATACATGTTTTACCATAAACCAACTATAATATTGTGTATACAGTGTTTCGAACTTATATTCCCTAAAGGCTTCACTTGACCAAAATAGCCTACCAAAAGTAGTATCATGGAATGACATGAAAAATCCTAAGCCTTAACCCTTTTGTTATTAATACGCAGGTCCACTATAACTCTTATTATAGGCTACTGTTTATATATATTAGCGCGTTTGCCGCAGTAGTCCAGTAATTCATTAACCTGCCACCACTACAGAGGTAGAGTTATAAAGTATGGTCGAAGTCTTGAGCCGTGTCTCTGTATGGACGACATACTGCGTCCTCCTCAAACTGCGCAATGGATAATTGATGGCACTGCAGTTCCGTTTCAGCACCACGCGCTCCCCCTCTCTCCTCCTCTCATAAAGTCTCGAGCGTCCCCGCAGCGTCCCGCGCGCCTCGTCACGCCCCCGTGCAAACTTAACGACGTTCAGGCTAAAAGAGTTTAGAAATGAGTTTTAGCGAGAGGGAACCGGTGGTCGAAGCCGTTTTACACACAGTGTGTCGTTAAACTGAATCCTCTGTTGCAATATCGTATGAGTATTATGTCACTGGGGTGCCTCTTCAAATATAAATACGCTTAAAGCAGAAAGGTCATTAAGAACTTGTTATAAACTTCGGGTAGGCTACTGTAAGCCCCGCCATTAGCTAGCTCATATTTTTGGGGGTGATTGAAGGAGGTGAGGAAAGGGGGCGGGGTGAGGGGGGAATGCGGACAAATAGCGCATAATCCAGGGGTGTGGTCGTCCCAAGGGGCAGCAGGCAGCACCAACCCTGTGAGGTACACTAGCAATTGTTTGTATGTTCATTTCCAGCTAAACAGCAGTACAACAGTGAAAATACTGTCACACTTTGACAAAAAAAAGTTGTGGTTTGTCTTACCCAAAGCTTACAGGCGCGCCAACAAAACAATCACTAATATCGATTAGTGTACAAATATAGACGCTCCTTCTCAGGTATAATACATGAAACAGTAGAGCTCATTGTGTTGCAGAGGAAGCAAAGGAAAAGCAAAGACACTGAAGGGGAAAAGGACAGCAGCAATTTTCACTGCAACTTTAAAGGAATCAATTCATTGAATGTATAGTAGTATTCAGTCAGTCAGGCAGTTGAATGATGGTTGCTCGTGGATTTCTCCAGGGTCTCTCCTCCTCCCTGCAGGGAATATTATTGCCATGTAAGCTATTGACAGCACAGCTTTCTCCAGCAGAGGGGCCTGAGTCAGCAGTCCATTCATCAGTCCTGCAGCAGTCCACCTCACTGTGACTGCAACTCAGCTCATCAACACCCTGCTCACCTTATACATATATGTATATGTCACCAGAAGGAATACAGTCTAGCTATAGCAAGGGAAAAAAAGTGCACTGACCAGAGCTGTAAGCACTAGTGTTAACCTGCACGCAGTTTTTACATGATATTATTTTATACAGTGAGATTATTCAGTTTATTTCTGATGTTGTAGTATATACACATAAAGAAATATTTCTGAGATTCCAACATCATCACTGTTTTTATCAGGCTGGTCAGTTTATTAGCCACAGACATTTTTGTCATCCATAGTGAAATTCAATAAGTTCTGCCAACCAGTGTGTTACAGTGTCTTTAAATTACAGTCAGTGCTGTTCAAAGAACAGACACAAATAAAGTCAGAAATGTTTTTCCACCTGAACCAGGGATTCAAACTGAGGCCACTTTAAACTTTAATTGGTCTTGTTGGAAATTGTAAGGATTATTGGTTAATTTAATGTAAAAAAAAAAATCTATTTACAGATTTGGCGTATAATTGGTGTAACAATGAAATTGGAGAGATGCAGGTGAGTAAACCCACATTCAACAAACACTTATTTTGAAAAGCATCTTTCCATTTTTTCCCCTCTCCTACATTTAGGTGTCTGTGGAGATGGACATGAGCAAACCGGACCTGACTGCCGCCCTGAAGGACATCCGGGCTCAATATGAGAACCTGTCGGCCAGGAACCAGGCCCAGGCAGAGGATTGGTACAGCTCCAAATTTGCCAGCGTGACTGAGGCGGCTGCCCGCAACCAGGACGCCATCAAGCACTCAAAGGAGGAGCTGAGTGAGTACCGCAGGCAGGTTCAGGCCCGCACCCTGGAGATCGAGGCCCTCAGGGGCCACAACGAGGCTCTGGAGAGGCAGATCGCCGAGATGGAGGATCGCCATAACAATGAAATTGGAGAGATGCAGGTGAGTAAATGACACAGGGCAGTGAGATTTGGGTTTTATTTTATTTTGTTTTATGATTGAATGAATCATTAATTAACAGGTTCTCATTGAGGTTTGCCAGAAAGACCAAACGGAATCATGTTGCAGATAAAACAATACTAAAAACAGGTTGTAATACAAGCCATATGTCTCACAAGGCTAAAAGCAGGCAGTTATAAAGACAGTTACCAACGGCCAGAAATATCTGCCAGAGATATCAGACTCATCCATTTAAGTCTCAAAGTCTCTCTGCATGGTGGACACTGATGAAGGACACAACCTGGGTTATGTAATTACATGAGTGTCATTTATTAATCACTTTAATATTAAAAATGAACACACTCCTTTTTCAGTGTACAAGACAAAATGCTCTACTGAGATGTTTATCAGCCCATTTTCAATCTATCTTTGCAAGACAAAATGATTAACACTTCATGACATGATTTTGTGTGTGTGTGTAGGATACCGTTCAGCAGCTGGAGGCTGCCCTGCGCAACACCAAAGGAGAAATGTCCCGTCACCTGCGTGAATACCAGGACCTGCTGAACGTCAAGATGGCTCTGGACATTGAGATCGCTGCCTACAGGTGGGCTATTACAAACATACAGCAGTTATCAGTTAACTGTTAGCTTTTACATTGTGCAATCCCTGACACCATTACATTCTCATATAAAGAAAAATAACCTTATTATTGTATTTTGCATTTTGTTTTTGCATTTTGTAATTTGCATTTTGTTTTTGCATTAAGTATTTTGCATTTTGTTTCATTTAGTTTCATTTTCTTTCTCTCACCTTCATACCTCACCTTTAAAGGTCTTGGCTTACAGAAACTGGTCAGTCAAGCAAAAAAGACTTAGTTTGTTGTTGACAGTCTGAATTATTTAAAGTTTAAATTTCAGAGACAAGAATTTCAAGTACATGTTTTCAGCAGATAACATCTTTACAAGTCAATACTACAATGAGCTTCACTTCCTCTTCAACATTTATTTTAAGCATTTTTAGAATTCAACTCCTCTGGTGCTTCTGGTGGCCTAGTTTTTAAGAGCATTACGTCTCATTCCCAGCTCTCTTTCCCCACTATATTTACACAGTAAACTGTCCGATAAAGGCAACATCTCTTTTCTACTTGAAAAGTGTGATTTAAAATGCTTACAGTAAGAATCAGACCCCTCTTTTATGCAAATGGATCAGTTCTTTCCCTGCTGTAATCAGATAGATGAACGGAAGTGATACAATGTGAAACCTTACAATAACCTAACTCAGCAACTGCGATAATGTTCCGGGCAAATATACCAAAACAGACAGCAGAGGTGCTGCCACTGATACTCCAGTGACATGAGATCCCTCAGGAGACATACACTGAGGTAATAATAGTAACAAAACCAGACTAGAAGTGACGTAATCTCGTCTGTCTGTCTCCCTCTCTCTGTCCGTGCAGGAAGCTGCTGGAAGGCGAAGAGTGCCGCCTCAGCTCCGTCGGCGGAGCCATGGTCCATTCCGGCTATCCCGGCTTCTCCTACATGTCTGCCCGCTCCTACACCCTCGGAGCCTACAGGAAGACCGAAGCCAAGCCCGAGGAGGAGGAGGAGGAGGAGGAGGGAGAGGATGAGGAGGGAGAGGAGAACGAGGAGGAAGGCGATGAGGGAGAAGAGGGAGAGGAGGGAGAGGAGGGAGAGGAGGGAGATGACCAGGAGGAGGGCGAGGGTGAGGGAGAGGAAGAGGAAGAGGAGGAGAAGGAAGACGAGAAGCCGAAAGAGAAAGAGGAGAAGGAGAAGAAGAAGGAGAGCCCTACCGGCAAGAACAGCAAGAGCTAAACTGCTTGTGTTGTCATCTTCATCATTATCAATAACTCATCCCACCAATCACCTATATGGATCTGGTCTCTGTTCACATCATCATCCGTCACACACAATTCTGCACACTCCAGATGCCTCACACATTCTGTGTTTTTTCTGTCTCGGTTTGCTCTGTAATTCAGAAGTGATTAGTACAAACTTTATTAGAACAATGAAGAGCTTTAGGAGCGACTAGATGTATTACAATGGCAGAAGAGTTTAAACCATTTACATACTCTGCAGTGGTCGTCATGATTTCACATCACATAAGTGAAGTCTCACGGAGAGACGTGCAGAACGCTAGCATGATGTCACAAAGTTTCCTAAGTTTGAAATAGGGGATGATTTTTCCTCATATATGAGCAACAGTAACTGTGCCATTAATGATCAATATTCACAGTAAGAGCAATCAAAACCTTGAAAGTAACAATACTGTCAGCACAGACTTTAAGATAAACGCACAGATCTTGGAGCATGAGTAAACAGCCAGTCCAACTTTTACGGTGCTATTTGATTTTTACATTTAAAAGTTGGGGAGTACTGTAAGTAAAAGATTTCATCATAGACCGAAGCTCTACCAGCTCATTCCTGAATGTGGGCTCGTTGCACAGGAAGGTTTAGAGAGAAAAAACACTTCTATTGAACTGTGAGTCCAGCCCCACATTTTCACACAGCAGGTGAATGCTTTCTATTCTCTTTCTTCCACTCCTTCCATTACTCTCCACTTAGTTCTGCATCTTGTCCCACCACGACAAAAGGAAATGTACCACTCACCATACAAAGCCCTTTTCCATTGTCTTTAATTCACTGCAGTGTCACAGCACGGCAATAATGGCAACTCAGAGCTCAGAAAAATGTATATACAAATGTGTCGGGAGGGGGTGGGTGGTATTTTCAGTTTCAGGGAAGGAGGAGTGCTGCAGCTTCTCAATACAAAAGTGCATCTTTGGGAATGAAAAATGTAGAAATGAGTTTAAATTGCCGCTATATATAATTTTTTGGGAATATGAATTATCCCCCCTTCGATTGATTCATTTGTCAGTGAATTTATCAACCATCTCACCTGTCAGAGCTTAGTATTTATCTGCAATTAATTTCTATTTCATTCATTTCCAGAAAGAAAACCAACCCTTTTCTTTGTCCTCATTGAACTGTAGTGGTGCTTTTTTTTAATTTAGCTTGATAAAGGAAACAAGGTGAGGGTGAGCGTGGCTGTCGGTGTCAGGCAGCTGATGATGACACTGACAGCCCTCAGCTCAGACTGTAAGTGGCAGGTGGGGCAGATGCCACAGGGGTCATGGCTGTATGGTACGGAGTCGCATATAAGGGCTATTTTCACCATAACCTCTTCTATCACATTGCCCTGAACGGTTTAATTTCATCCCCTGGGCTTTTCTTTTTGACAAATGAATCAACCAACGGGCATGAATGCATGGCCTGACTCTTGGAGCTTGAATATCTGCTGGATGGGATAGATTTTTGCTTGTTGTGTGTTCAATTAAAAAACTTGCCTTAACCATGACTGAAAGTTAAAATAAAACACATTTTCACCTGCATCTCACTTGTTCCTGGGGAGGCTGAGGAGTGCTGACACTTTCCAGACCTCTGCTATACAACTGTGACTGTACGTGCTGCTATCTCATGCAGTGATATTCCTCTCAAAGCCAAATAAAGACATTTATTAACCAAACGTTCACTACATCTCTGTCTTTATTGTCATGAAAATAGTAAATTAATACTAAATTTGTAAATTAAAATAAAATAATATTTTCCCACAGCTTTAAAATACATAATGTTAAAAGAAAAGTGCAAGAGAGACATTCATTTTCAATATATTCAAGTTTCAGTGTGATAAAAGTGTTCTGTGATGTCATGACACTATGTGAAAAAGAGAATTAGATGTCTATAGGATTTTACTCCATAGTTGTTAAGCGCTTACAACAGAAGTAAAGAATGTAGTGTTGTAGAGTATTGTATGTAAAATTAATAAATAGGAAGGGAAAGTATGTAGAAGTGGAATCTATTTGTATGCACAGTGTTTTGCTGAAAGTAACAAATTATGAAGTTAAAAAGGTTGCTAAAAGTGATGAAATCTGAGGAAAGCCTGTATTTATTCATGACTCATTCATACCTGCAGCTGCCTATTACTGTTGAACCTTAACATCCCTCCATTTTCTGAAGCCACCTATTAATATGCAAAGACATTAAAGCTTGGGTAGGCAGTTTGAAAAACAAACACAATGCAAAACCTTCCGCCTCCCTCTGCTGCTGCTTATCACTCATATAAGCCCCTCCCACCAAATCCACAAGTTAAAAAGCAGCAGAAAGAGTCGGTTGCCCTGTGAAATCTCATGCCTCGTGGGGTTCACTCTCTGCGGCTTGAGCCTCGCCATCACCCCAGTCCCTCTCGTTGTGACTGATCTTCTCAATGATGTCGCTTCAGCTCCTGCGGCCTCAGGGAGCGTCCTAGGCTTTAGAGGCAGCTGTGATGCTGTCTAAGGACACGGAAACGCATGTGAATGCAGGCGAGTGACGTCTGCTGAGACACACAGTCAACCACACACTTGCTATTCATTGAGGCTGCAACTTCGCCGGTTAAAGTTCATCAGAGCTGAACTCCACGCAAAGCAAAGAGGAACATTTATGACCGTGCCCTAACAGCAGGATGAGAGGATGGTCCAGACATACTTACAGACGACTGTGGTGAGGGGCAAGAAATGACCCAAAAAATGACAAAATGACCTTTCAACTCCTTTCAGTTCTTACATACCAACCGTTAGTTCAACAACTTCATCACTTGTGTGTAACACTTAAGATTGGCAGAAATTGAATATAGTATTCTTAGCTATGTTTTCATTAGTGTATAATCACCTGATAATGAGAATGAGCTGATTTTATTCACAGACACCTTTCATGGAGTCCACCATGTTGAACCGTTATGTTTCTACAGTAGCCCAGAACAGACAAACCAACTCTTAGGCTGTTTGTGCTTTTCACAACTTCACAATTTTCCCCATCTGAAGTGAGGAAGTTGCAATCTACAGCTACACTGGTAGATGCCACTAAATCCTACACACTGGATCTGTCATCTGACATTTCTAGTTACATTGTTCAAACATACTACAATGTGTTTTTAGTATAGTCTAAATGTATTACTGATGCCTCTATATGACCTGCATAAGATAACTGATGCCTGTCACCAGGTTGGATACGGTTGGATCTCCCTCCAAATCAATGAAATGAGGCGGTAGAAACACTGCACAAGGGCAGAAAGAATCAACACAAAATGAAAGTTCATTGTGGCTGCTTTAACCTTCAAATGACACTGCAACTGCTTTCAGTGAGTACATTTTGCCTGATCGCAAATACTTTCGACAAACACATTTTAACTGACATTTTAACTGCTTTCATTGCTTACACTTCAACTAACATGCCAGCTGCTTCCAGTGCTACTGACAAGTTAACTGCTTTCATTGTTTACACCTCAGTTGACACTTATGTGTCGTACCTTCTAAGACTACACTTGAACTGACGCTAAGTGCTTTAACAGGCAACACACCTGCTGTGTTTGTAGGAGGTTATTGTGAGTAGATGCATCAATGATGCACCTCAATGCATCAAGATATGTTATTGTCCCATCTATGTGCATCAAATGCACAAAATATATCTCAACTACTGTACTCTGATTACTTGTGTCTGTTACATATATCTAGTGTTTACGGGTATCAGTTGACACACATCAAATTGGTGCTAGAGCCTGATAGAGGAGGGGGCCTAATGGCACCCCAATGAGCAAGGTTGGAACACCACTGGATGCAGGGCCAAGGGACCACAAGGGCCGTCAAACCAGATTTAGCTTCCCATTAATTTCTATGTGTAACAGGGCGAGACACATTCACGTCTGCTCGTAAATTGATCTGCCGCCTTTGATTCCCACAAAGTCCAACCAGATTAACCTTGGAAATCGTGAGGCTCTCCAATGCCCACCTGATTTGAGAGAGAGGGTGGGCATTTTGTTTGCTTTTGTTCAGGAAATATTCTTTGTTCATTTTCTTTCTATATTCTGCAAGGCAACATACAATACAAGCAGCAAAGAAGAAGGGCTGCTGCCCGGCTACAGTGAGTACAAGGACAGTAGCAGAGGTTAAATGACAGTAAGCTGTATAATTCACAGATTTATGGAGTGCGGTTGTTGGCCTGCTATCCATGCGAGCTCACACACTTTATGTTAGCAACCACGCTATTTCCTGTCCCCCTGCTTTTGATACACCACGATAATAAATTTGGCAGACTGAAGCTGGGCCTTATGCTGCCACAGTGAGTGGATCTTGCCACTGCAGCGGGTGAGGCTTAAAACACTGCTGGGGTGGAGCCTAATGAACCCAGTGGGCTGAATCCTTAAGGCGATGCCTGCTGCTACAACAAGAGGTGGAACTGGAAATGCTGCTGTGGGATGATCACGATGGGCAGGGCCAGATGTGACGCCTATACTGCCACAAAGGGTGGTTCCAGAAATTCAGTTGGGAAGTGAGGGGTCTGGTGTTGCCTGAGAACACTAGTTGAATGGGGACGGGGCCATTTGTCTTGACAATGGGTGCGGCAGAGGTAACACTGAACTCAGGCAGGCCAGGGCCAACGCCAATGCTAATGCCACCCTAATGGACAGGGTTGTGTCTGTCAGTCAGGTAACCATGGCCTTGCAGTCTTAGCAGTCTGTCAAGATCATGCACATTACCAGAAGCCTGAAACTAAAGCAGCTCAATGGAATTCAAATAATTATTTGCAATTGTGCTTTCCCTACTGATACTGATGTATCAATTACCACTAACATAGGTCTGGAACAGTTGAAGGTTATGTGCCGTGCTCAAAGGCACTTTGACAGCATTTATTATTGGAGGAGGAGTTATCTACTTATTTGCTTCCACCCACACAGAAAACACTGAAATTATATCTCCAGTCACAAGCCTACCTGTCTCCTTCAGGCTGCAGTCGATACCTTTTCATTAATGGGCGGGGCTGCATAATGTCTGCTGGGTGTTACTATCAGCTCATCTCAGCCTCTGCCTGCCTGCACACAGAGGTGAAGGATGGGGCTGGCTAAGATGGATGGCAGTTGCCAACGCTGGCCCACCAGCACAGCTGTCACCAGCAAGAACTTCATCACAGCCCAAGACTGCTTATTTCCCTGCTCACAGACTGTGTGTGTGTGTGTGGGAGGGGGAATCAGCACAGTGGCAAAAACATTATCAGTACTAACAGGTAATCAATAAAACTGAGAAAAGCAGGGGGAGAGTAGCAAGGACAAATCTTTTTGACAAAGGTATTAGATGAAAAGGTGCACACGTGAGTTTCAGGAAAAAGCA